GTTAAGATGTGAGTCTGTCTCTAGATAGTCTGAGTTCCCCAGCTCTTGACCAAGTGTGTGCTTTAAATCAACTATCTGTTCTGAAGTGAATCTTTGAAGTAGGCTGACAAATGGCGAAGCTGCGTGGCAGCCCCTCGAGCATTTCCAGCCCTGCTCCATCAATTCTCTTAGCAATTCTGGCTAGGAAATGTTCCAAGCCAGAAAGCCCTTTCCCAGAGCTTAGGGTCCAGATCTTGATATTCATGGTGACCCTTGCCTCTTAGTCACTTGCTGAAGATGTGCTTGAGCTGTTCCTCGCAAAATATTTCTAAAATGCTATAAACAATAACTTTAAAAATGTGTCACCTACTCTTTGAGGGTCAATAGATAATGGCTGAATTAAAGTGGTGTAACTCTGGTGGACTGAATGGCTACTACAGACTTCACTGGCTGAGGAACCGATGGTCAGCAAAACACTGGAGGCTTTCCACTTTTTCCTAATGTGGGGGGAAAAAATGAATAGGGCAGGATGGAGACAGAGACTTTAGGAGGCGGAATACACTTGACTCAACAGTGTTTGCACTTACTGTGACATTCCTCTGGCCCTGCCAGGATGCTGAGACTTGCAAGGAGGCTTAGCCCTTGGATTTACCCTATGAACCTGGAAAGACAAACATAAATCAGTGTGTTTAGAACTATCTCCTTTCCCTTACAACAGCGATGGCTGTTTTGTGAACTGAGCATATGCTGGTTGGAGGGAGAGCAAGTGGTATGTGCTGGAGAAAATAGAAGCATCCTTAGTATTTGAGAGTAGGCTCAGGTCACCTCCAGAGCATGGAGGCATTTAACCAAGGTTATTGAAACAGGCCTTTGTAAAAGACCCAAGTCACCCGTGAAACTTGGCTCCATGCTGGAGTTAGGGTTTTTTCTGCATTTGGATGGAAGAGTCTAGAGAAAACCCTTGTTACTTTAGCTAAAGTGAAAATGGTACTTCATAAACCAGCTACCAGATCCTTCTCACAGAAGGACTGTAGCATACTGGATTGACGCAAAAAAGTAGTTACCGGTAGCTCATTAATAAAGGGTTTACAGGTTTCATCTTTGTTTCCCTTTTACTATGGCAAGAGAGGTTTTTCTTGGTGGAGTACTCCAGGCTAATGATCTCATGTTGCTGTTTCTCATGTGCACCATTGCATCAGTAAAAATGCCGGTCTCAATAAATAACTTGCAGCAGTGCTGTTGTCATACACTCCACTTCTGGAGCGAACATTAAAAGTGTGGCTCCGGACTGAGGGACAGCAGCACGTGTGAGACGTGGAGACAGTGCTCCTACGTCTGCCTTGAGCTACAGCTGCGGGGAAGGAATTTGACCTGGTTTGTCAGCAAGGAGAAGTCATGGAAATAACTGAATTGACTTTCTGCTGGCTGTAGGAGCAATGTAGGTCCCCTGCCGATCTGTTTGGTGTGCTGACTTGCTAAAGGGTGCCCTGGGATTTGCGTTCCCCATCCATTAAGCCAGCCGTTCACCCTGTCCCACTCTTAGCACCCGCGGCGTCAAATTCAGAGCCTTATTCTACATTATCTGGTAGCTGATGTTGTCACGTACTGCCAAGTCCGTTGTTTGTGCCTGTATGTGTCTGTGGTCATGCAAACAGTACCTTAAGGTATTGGCAGATGGTTACAAAGCTGTTGTTTGTTGTTTAGTGATCAGTTACTAAGGCCACTGTAACTGTCCCCTTGTGAGCTCCTCCCCGGTTGAATCACTGCCTTTGTGGCAGTTTTGCTTTGCGTTTGCAGCCTGCTAAGAACCAGATGTGAGTGGTTGTGGCTTGGCAGGTAAGAAGTCTCTCCTTAAGGTAAGGTTACAGTTGTTTCTTTGCACCCCAACAGCGCTCTAGGTCAGACAAACGTATGTGTTTCTTCAGGGTCTGGATCCTACACTTGGTGCTCCCCGTTCCGTATGGTATTGTTTGGTACTTACAGCATTTGTAACACAGGTAGAGTAACTTCAAAATGGGGGTCTTCTAGCTGACTGTCACCCTGTCTTAGAGTCACATTCGTAGAGATGCAGATAGGTGCATGGTGTAGAGATATGGAGGCACCTCAACAGACTAGGATTTAATTACCTTGAACAGGTTAGTAGGCTACAAAAGCACCCATCTCATCAAATAAAATCAGTATATGCATCTGAACTTTTTGGAGGCTTTGCATAGCCGTTTGGTCCAAATAATTTATTTGAGATCCGTTCTCTCTCTCTCCTGCTTTCTGTCACTCTCAAAACAGTCATAACTGATTACAGTGAAGGATATTTTGCAGTCTAGTTGGATTTGACTGGTGTAGCCATGTGACGACTGCAGGCAGCCACGTGAGACAATGGGCTGCTCTAAGGCGGTCAGGCGTCTCTGATGAGAACATGTCACTGTGTCTCATCCAAACCTGCAGTATGTTACCCTTGGCCCTGATCCAGCAAAGCGGTTGCACGTGTACTTGGACCACCCATGGCCTTCATATTTCTATCTGATGCTCTTGAGTTATAAGTATCTCTCAAGCAGTTCAAGGATGGCTCCTGTCCAAGGTTATGTCACACGTGGCCATCAACAGGGCTGTGCCGTGATGCAAGGACTGCTGGATAATCCCAAACCCTTGGATGTGGGAGGAGGGCTTGGGAAGCCAATGTTATTGAGTTGCCCCGGGTTCCCGCCGCAAACCAATCCTGGCTGTACTCCGCCACAGATCCCTGTGATACTGTTTGCATTGCCTCCTTGCAGTCTATCAGGTAATGGTCAGTATAGTCAGTTTTCAGGACCTGTAAAATTGGCTGATTTGTTTTTTCTGTTTTTTCTCCAAAGAAAAACGGTGGTGAAAAATCAGACGTGCAGATTGTGGAAGGAGTTCCTGGGCTGACAGATCTGCTTTAAAGATCGTTCCACATGACTGAAACAGCATTAACAAAACTGCATTGGAGGACCTATGCCCCCTTTTTTTCTGTACAACAAAAGACTGAATTCTCCTGTAGACATGCCACCACTCTTGGTTGTTCCACTCTGTTTCCAAGTCCATGATCAGTCTGGAATCAGGCAAGACATGCACAGAAACAGAAGGCACAGACGTGCCCCTTAGCAAGAGTAAGTGAAGTGGTCAGAGGGGACTGTGGCTGGCTGTGGTTTGAGATCAAAGCACAGTGAGGTACTCCAGGAAGCTTGCTCAGAAAGGCTGGACACACCTTATCTGGAGAGAGAAGCAAGATCTTGCAGGGAGGTTGGTCTACTGAACTGAATAAGAACCGCTTCTGACAAGTTTCCAGCCATGATAAAACAGGCACTGAACTTTAGCACTAAGCAGGAATAGCACTAGCTTATGCATTTGTGCTCAAGACAGTTACGCAATTGCGTGACATTAGTTACTCAGTGCGATGATTACTGCTAAGACCTTCTGACATGGCAGAGACCGTGGTCAAAGATGATGGCTGTCAAAGTTGCAAGTGAAACTGGACTGATGCCATGTAACACGCCAAGC